TTTGTAAAAATAATTTTGGATCCCCCCATAATTTTGGCAAGTCATTATTTATTTTATTCAATTAATTATTTTATTTTTTATTACTTCTAAAAATTTATTTTATTTTTTATTTTTATATCACGAGTTAAAACTTAAGTCTAATATTTTAAAGTTTTAAACTTTAAAAATAGAATTATAACCTTATAAATCACGAGTTTACATTTTCAACTTTAAAAATATACCTAATATATAATGAAACTCTTATATTTATATAACTAAAATTTATTCATTTTTTATAATGTGAGAATCATGATATTTATCCTCTTTTAATGTAATTTCATAAATTTAATTTATACATAAAAATGAAATTACATAAATACAATAAATCGTCTAAACCTAAAGCTGAACGGGTGGGCTTGAGTGAATCTGACCCACCTCTCCTTTTTCTTCTTTTAGTATCCATAAAACGACATGGCTTTGGTTTTCCTATAAACTCTTAATCTAACCCTAGCAGGTTGCCCCTTTCTCTTTTCCTCATTTATGCAATCTTTTTCTTCTCCTACTGACCCGAGCAGCCAACTCTTTTCTCTAAACCCTCTCTCCTTCACTCGGTACCTGGCGCCGTAGCCTTTCCGGCAACGGTTCCCTCTTTCTTTCCCTTTCTTTTTTTTTTTCTTCTCTTCCCCTTCCTTCTGCCGCCAGTTTCATCTGTTTCTAAAAGGGCCTAGCTACCGTTCTTCTCGGAGTGCACTTTAAAAACTGTATAATACCTTGAAATCTATCCTATCCGTATCACCTCTCTCTCTCTCTCCAAAAAAAACGTATTTTTCTTCCTCTTTGTCTAATAATCCATTCAATCAGGTAATTTTAATTCAATAATTCTCATTTAATTTTAGTTTTGTTTGTATTCTTTATGCTGTCATGTTTCTTGCTGAAAGTAAATAATTTTTGATAAATTGAATCTGGAATTCGTTTATTTTGTATTTAATGTGTTGTTTTTGACCTGGGTGTTTTTATTCTTCCAAAAGGTGTTAAATTTAGTTTTAATGGGTGGTGATTTTGAAGGAATTAGATAGATTCTAGCTTCAGATTATTGGATTATGTGTTATTGGGAGCTAGAGACTGTGTTTTTTGTTTTTTTGGGGTGGTTTTTACTTTGTTTCCGGGGATTGCTGCGTCTGTTGATGTTTTGCAGTGGCTCTTTTTGGAGCTCAACTGTTGTTGTGTGGGAAAGGAAAATGGAGTAAGACTCAATTCAATCAAAGCCAGAGCGTACCTTCGTTTTAGTTTTTTGTGTAGGTTCTAACATTTATGGGTTCTAAATCAGTTGAGGATATGATAGACCCCTCACCCGGGGTTCCATGGTTTGGAGTCAATGCAAAAGACTTTTATTTCCCTGGTCAGATGTCATTACCACATCTGTTTACGTTTTATAAGGGCAGAGGCCCTTTGCATTGGTCCCTGCTTGTTTGGTTCGAGCCTTTCCTAACTTTTACCTCTGTATGATTTTTTGCCAGCTGTCTTACTTGATTCCAGATTGATTTTAGCTCTGTTTAGTTTTTAATTATTTTCTTATATTTGGGCATCTTTATTCTTTATAAATCTAATCTTTGTTATGTATAGGGTTAGAAAAACCTGGAGATCTTATTTTGGTTTAATTGTTATCTTTTCCTTCGGCAGCCTTATTCTTTATAAATCTAGAAACGGAACTAGGGCAAAGCCAAGAACAAGAACAGAACGAGATGATTATTCCAGTTCGCTGCTTCACATGTGGGAAGGTTTTTTTCTCACTTATCTTTTATTTTCTATCCCAAAAACACTGTAATAGAATAATATATAGTCTATTTGTATTTAGATTTTATTCAATTTAATGTAGGTAAGTAACAGCCTTAGTTTTTTGGTGGCTGTTGCACTAACTTGGAATATTGGTTTGGGTATTTGTAGGTTATTGGTAACAAATGGGATACTTACCTTGATCTTCTCCAGGCTGACTACACTGAAGGGTTAGTAACAACCTCTCTTTCCGTCTATCTCGCTAATATAATCATTAATTATCTTCTTATTGATTTTTTTTGGCTTTATTGTTGCTGTTTTTTAATAGATTTTAAGTGATTGCATTTTTTATATAAATTATCTGTTGTGTCAATTGCATTGTTGTTGTAAGTGACTGCATATGATTGGTGATTTGGATGATTTCTTTGATCGATATTTTTTAAAAGGTTTTAAGAAAGCTTAATTTGGGTGTTTGAGGGTTAATGATTACTTAGCATCTGTATAACCAAGAAACTTTGAACATAATCTTTTCAACAAAATGATCTAAGATGCTCCTGCTTGTTTGTCAAAGAAACATTGTTTGCGTACCCCCAAATGCAAAATTATCAGCGGTGGCTATTGTTACTTGATTGATGAAAATATGCATTCCTTCTCCCATATGGAATAAGGAAATGTATCTAATCTAAGCACCCAAGCATGTATTTGATAATATTTTGTTGCAAATTGATGAGTAACAATCAAATTTATGCATTATTGCTCATCTATGAATCTTGGTGGTCAGCCTAGCTTTAATACTCTGATTGGTATTTACTAGCATTAGTCTGTAGAGAATAAGTTGTGATTTGTTTGGCATGCAGAGATGCTCTTGATGCTTTGGGCTTGGTTCGATATTGCTGTAGGCGAATGCTTATGACTCATGTTGACCTCATTGAGAAGCTTCTGAACTATAACAGTAATCTCTCTCTGTCTCCCTTCCCAACCTTCAATCTGTTTTGACTCTCTTTCTTCCTCATGTTTATGTGCATTTTATTGCTATATTTGTTTGGTGTCTCCTTCCACTTACTCTAAAATCATTTTTGCAGCTTTGGAGAAGTCCGAGACCAGTTGAGGAAACATCTAGAAGTTAGTCCTGCATGCTCTATTGCAGTTCTGAGTGCCTATGTGATTCTAAGATTTTGTGTAATGTGGAACGTAGTCAGAATCCAAACAATGAAAGACTTCAATAGTAGTCAACTTGTACTTTGGTTCTATGATGGCTGATTTGTACGTTTGAACCTACCTGGTAATTTTAAATATTAAATTATTGGAACATTGTGCCTGTTGTTCAGAACTTTGCTATTTCCTTGGATAAGTATTTAGTCAAAGAATATGATTGAGAGATGTGATATGTTCAATAGTAGTCAATATGTTTGTACTTATTCCTCTTCATTTGGAGTCCTTTGTCAAGCAGACTTCTTTTCGAAACAAATCCACATAGTCTATCTGAAGTGGCATTCCTATGAAATGCGGATTACTCTGAACAGGAATTCCTTTTTGCTTTTATTTGAGTAAATTTTTAAATTTACTTCTATTATTTATGGCTGACTGTTTAGATGCGTCTTTACACCACTGTTTGTGTTGGGAATACTAAGATTCCATTATATGGTGGTTGTAGAACCAGCTCATTATGGTCACACCTGAGGGCAAAATTCTGCGAGCAATGCAATTGATGACAGGTACAGTATGCTGCTTCTAGGACATATACTTTGTGTTTGCAGTAGGCTCTTCCTTGTCAAGCTAGTTGTAACCTGAAGTATTTTGGCAGATAACCGAATCAGACACATTCCAGTGATTGTTGAGAAGGGAATGGTCGGCATGGGGAGGTTACTAGAGGGTGATGAAATCTTGTGTGTTTCCCCTGTTATGCTGCATACTTGTCGGACATAAGTAAGCAGAGAGCAAGTAAATACTGTGTTTTGTGCATCTTTCGTCGCGTGGCTTTGGCTTTATCTTTCCCCGCATGTTAATATGCAACGATGTGAAATAAAATCATGTGGACTAACAGTTTAGTAGTAAACATTATCGTCTTGCTTGGTATTCGTCTTATCTGTTTTCCACGGCAGGAGTGGAATGTATAAAGCAGTATTTATTTGTTTGATTTAATTCGTAAAAAACTGTAATCACGCTTCACGTCGAGCCGTTAAAATTGACAACAAAATATTACTCCTTGCCGTAACATGATAATTTTTTTACTTCCTCATTAAATTTTCTTTATAGTTAATTCTTGAACTATTAAAATCACACTCTTCAAAACTAGTTGTAACTTTGATGTCACGTCAGAGAACATTCTAACAATGTTAAAAATTTGTGAATCTGGACGAAACAGAAGAGAGGTTGGACTTTGAGAGTTCAAAGTTGAAGTTAAAACCCACGCGGACCATGGACCCTCCATTCTGGTGGGCGGTAAGGTAACTTTTAACAATTTGGGCAACAACCAACAGCAACTAGAGACTCCACTTATCTGCACCACTCTGTGTGTCTTCAATAGTGCTCTTCTCGTCTCTTTGTTGACCCGCTCTTCATATTTGGATTTGTTATAGTGTAAGGAGAGACTGCCCCTGTCACTACCGGCAAATTGCAATGTAAGCTGCTTCTCTATCTCATTCTTTTCCTATTGTTACCTTTACCATCTATATTTTGTCAAAGTTTCTCACGACTCAATTTGGATTTTTTCCTTGAAGCAAAAGCTTTTGTTTTTTTTTTTGGGTTTTTTCTGCCTTTTTTAATCCTTGTTTAGGGTTTTGCTCTTGACTTCAGTCTACTTGGTTGAATTACTCTGATGTTCTTAAATGATGCTATATGGTAATTAGTGGTAGTAGCAGTAGTAATAAACAGGATTTTGCAGCCAGCCCCCGTGTTGGGTAAGTTCTTAACTTGGGCAGGCTGGCAGTTCATATGTTTCTTGTCTCTCTGATTTTCTGATTCACATACTATACCCCACGTACCGCATATTCTTTTCTGATATATAAGTTTGCACAACATGCCTTCGTTTCGTCTCACATAATTTTTCCATCACAACAGTATGGTGGATTTGCCCTCCTTTCCCCCTGCCTTCACACCCATTGTTCTGAGACTCAGTTCAAGTAAAGAATTTCATTGGCTAGCATCATGCTCTTTTGGCATCATCACCTGCAAACTAGTAAGTCTTCTAATATGCTTTTGCTTATACCAGGTAGACTTTTGGTGAATTGGAGCTCTTTTTATATCTGTTCTTTTTTGTAGATTTCAGTTCCATTGCTCTTTAGCGATTTAAGATACACTTAAAATTTTTCTTTTTCACTTTTATAAATTCAATATAATCTTGGCACTCACTAACACGTCCTTAGCCTTTTCTTATTCATGTTACTTGATTTTTGGCCTAGATCTTGTTTGATAGTCAGCTAGATTATTTTTCAGGTAATGATTGTAGTTATATAAAGTAAGATTGCGGTTGTTTAAATTGCTTAGCATTTCATTCGGCCATTTTTTTGGTTTTGATTCAGGATATGTGGCTTACGGTTTGCAATAAAAATGTTTGGCAAACTTAATGTATACAGCTCTACACCATTATTTTGGAATGACTACAAGATTCCGGTACCTGTATCCAGTTTTGGACGCATATCCTACTAGCTTAAATTTGGGATTTTGATGAGTCTAAGTTATCTTTATCTGCGTCTGATGTCTATGCCCAAGCTGGAGCAGTTTATTAGTTGTTTTAAGTCCCCTAAAGCTCGTGGGATTCTACCTATATTTTGTTATCATACAGGTTGAAATATAATAAAATTGTAGAAACTGATATTAACATCATATGTAAACCTTTCTATCTTACATTATTCACTTTAGGTCTGTCTTTGAACTGCAGTATCAGATTTGACATCAAGATGATGGAATTCACATTAACTCTTAAAGTTTAGGAGAATTTATAGGTATATCTAATTTCTTGTACTCATAGTTTTACATTGAGGATATCTGAAGTTACCTAACAAAAAAAATCATGTGGTGGAAATATAATATGACTCTGTTGAATACCATAAGTTGGCTTAAGTTTCAGGAGGAAGTAAACATGAGTAGCTTTAAGAGAGTCTGGGATAAGAATTTCTTGTTCTTTCTTTTTATATAGTAATGGTAACTTCTCTTCTTTTTTTTGGTCTATTTACTAGTAGCTTCAGTAGTTGAAAAGTCTACAAGATTGATGTAATGAATGAGTTATATGTCCTTTTATTTGGTACTATATGTAGCTCCTTGTGTTAATTTTTCTACCCTAATCATCTGTTTATATTGTTAGAAAGAAAAGCAGAGTGCATCTTAACTAACTTTAATACTGTTTGTCAGATAGTAATCTCTCTCTCCCAATAAATTCAAAAAATGTGTTCAATTATGTTCATGCAGGTCTACAAAATAACAGGTTTCATCAGCCATTTTTGTTTCAAAGGATACAGAAAACTAAGCAATGAAAAAAAAGTTGAATGGAACAATCGGTGAAATTTTGTCCTATATTCTTATTTTGTATAAAAGTTGTCCATATTAGATTTTTTTTTTTTTACAACATTATCTTGATAGCTTTATTTTCTACAGGGGATTTTCAACTTTCCATGCTCTTATTGCAGCGTTGTCTTCTCTGTACCTCCTATTTGTCTCAGATCTTTTTCATGAGGATTCCAGTGATGAGTTGATTGTTAATAGAACCTCTATTATATCAAACACGATATTAGGGGTAAGCTGATGTAGGAGGGATATTTCCAGACTTGTTTCACATCAATTTTTTTTTTTCTATTCCTTTAATTTAGTTTTACATAGGCTTGTTCTTGAAGTTCAATTAGTTTATATTATGCACCAATATCTGGACTACTAGTTTCTATTAACTTAATTGTATGTGGTTTGCCAAGCACATTCAATGCTGCTTTACAAGTTTGCTGAACTTCACTCATGATGATTTTTTTTTTCTCCTCAACTATGTGTGTAACATGCTTGGTAATGATTTGTTGATGGTTAGCTGGAAACTTCTTACTTATTATTATTCCGTTTCTTTATACTGTACAGTTCTCTATTGGTTATTTTCTATCAGACTTGGCGATGATTTTTTGGCATTTTCCGGCTTTAGGAGGTCTGGAGTATGTAAGTATAGAAGTATGCCTGATGTTGTTTATATTATTGTCCTGTAGATTATTTTCTTGCTCTGAATTGGGCCTTGTTCTTGGAAGCAAATTAATTTAAAGCATCAACATAAGCAATAATTTTGGTTCTTTGAATAAACTTTTGGCATTTGCCACTCTGTCATTCAAATACTTGATCAGCTGAAATGTTGGCTTTGGGGTTCATGCTAAGTGGTTCAATTTGTTCATTTCCTTATCTCTATCAGGTCCTGCACCACGGGCTATCCATGTTTTCGATTTTTCTCTCCCTAATAAGCAGTCAAGGGCAGATTTACATATTAATGGTTCTCTTCTCAGAGAGCACAACACCTTTTGTCAATTTGAGATGGTGGGTTAACGTATGAAAATTTGCTATTTTTATCTTCTCCGGTTCATCAACACTGTCTCACTACTATGACTACAAATCCAGGTACTTGGATGTTGCTGGTCAGAAGAGCTCTAACATTTATGTCTACAATGGCATTGCATTGTTCTTTGGGTGGTTGGTACTGTCTATCATGCCTCAAATCTTGGTCCTTTACCATTGGCCTGCTGTTATTTTGTGCATTCTGGGCTCCATGTTGGCTCCTTAACATTAATTGAGATAAAATTGGGAATCATTGGCAGCGAAGCACTTTGCTTTTTTAACTTGAAGAGCATTTGTTATAAGTGAAAATATCCAGAACACCTTAAAAAATGCTACGTTCCCTATAGCTGGTTCTGTTTGTCTCTTGCCATGGCCTGTCAAGCATCGCTTTGTCAAGTTGTTCTTTAACAGTGTAAAGAAGAATAGAACTGTTATTTGTGAGGCAAAACTACATCGCCCCATTTGGTCTGCAGAAGGAGATGTATGCTGGTACTTTTATTAAAGGGGGTGTATAAGTTATATTCAGATATCTTTGTTTTTGGTATTCTCTTCAACTTATGGAGATACACTAAGATTCTTGGACTTTATGCGTTTCTTTTGTGACATGGCCTATATCAGACAACCCACAAGCTGATTCTTGGACTGCATTTTTGTTGGGATGGCGCTAAAAGCTTTTTCCTCTTTTCTCTTAAAAAGTAAAATAATGCCATTTTTGGTGATATTTTTTATGGGTTTTATTATCATGTGTATTGCTTTAATAATTAAGATAGTGTTAAATATCCTACAAAATGAAAGGAATGAGTTTCTTCTTTAGTTGTCTCCTTGGAACATCTGTTAAACTTTGAATCCATGCAACTATCTTCCTGACATCATGTCGATGCTGTTACGACTTATGGGCACATTTCTGTGTGAAAAGACAAACTAATGAATTTCATGAATACAGCTTTTTGGCCTTTTATTTGTTTGATTTAGATCAGGGCTTTCTATTTGTTTTAGGTTATAAGAATTAATTTCTATAGTGGGAAAGGTTTGTTGCATCATCGACTTTCAGGTCTACAATCTCTTGTTGCAAAGATCTCATTATGTAGGGTACATCATCTGTTCACCACATGATTTGTTTCAAAACAAGTTCTTAAATTATTGGTGGGTATCCTGCCAAAATAATCAGACCAAGACCATGAGAGGTTTTAAATATTGAATGACATGGTTGAAGTGTATTTGTTTAAATTCCTTTTGCTTTCTCTTTCATTTCATTGTTTTTTCTTCACTGACATCTTCTTTGATGATTTTAGATTGCAAGGATTTTTCTGTTCATCTATTTTTTTGCCCACATGCTTAACCATTTTGATCAGGTGAGTGGTGCTCCTTGGTCTAGTGTTTTGAGTAAATGAGCTTAAGCTTATATAAGCAAAACTCTTATGCTATTTTGGTATTATCTGTTTCACATAATCTGGTGTGTAGTGTGCTGCAACCTAAAAGGTTCTTGTATTTCCAATTCCACAATGTTATAGTTTTGAACAGGTTTGAAACTTATGCTGAAATCAAATTGCAAATTCTTCAAATCAATCGGCAATCTACACGTGCATCTCTGCTCATAACCATGCACGAATAAAGTCAAAACCCCAAATCCCAATAACTTAATGCTTTCTAGGATTTTGAATGAGGAAATGCTAGAATTCCAGATTTTTACAGTTATTTTGGGCAGGTTTTTATAAGAACTTGTGTATTATTTTTTTTATTTAATAGGGAAGGAAGTTTTTCTGGGTTGTTTGATGTGTGTGGGACAAAATCAATGTCATACATTAATCCTTAGGCAGTTGTTTGTGTGTGTTAAGAGAAGATTGCTTGGGTTAATTTGTTTTTTCTTTTATTTATGACAGGTGAAGAAGATATTTCCCTTGGGCTTCTACAGCTTGCTCACTGTACCTGCAATGTTGGCCATGATGAATGTCGCATGGTTTTGGAAGATAATAAAGGGATTGATTAAAACAGTTTCAAAAGCAAGACACGGTGAATAATCCAAAAGTGTGTTTAATGGTGGGCCTGCAATGTAAACAAGACCCTTTGTTGTATCAAATTATGCAACTTAATTGTAAAATGAGTCTGTAAAATTGATTGTTAGTGGTGTTTTGTGAATGTGAAGTGTGTAATGCAGACATGGTTTTGGGAATTGGTAAGAGAAGGAATTTGATCTTTGTGAACCTAGCGATGGCAGGAGGGAGAGAGATTCAAGTAATAGCGACAAATTCGAGCGTATGCAGCAAGCTAAGAATGCTTAATCAGTGATGAGGAGAAGGATAGGAGCCAGTCACTTCATCATTCTTCTTGGAGCATTATTTCATCAGACATCATTCATCAAATGGTGAGCTGGACCATATCTAGGTTGGTGAGGGCATGCAATTGGAATCGGGCAACGGGTAATGGTCAAATGGGCAGGTCTTGTAATTGCCTTTGCATTAATGCGTTCGCTTGCCATAATTAATAACCCAAAAGTTCTGTGATCGAAATCGTAGTTGTAGACTAGCAGTTGCAGTCTTTTGTTAATAGTGCTGGATGGATGAGAATGAGAGGTGGCGATTGGCGAATGCACTTTCCTTGGTCTTTCCTCCAACCGCATGTTGTGCCGACCTTGTCTCACCGACCCATCAAAAACTTGCCTTAATGGAATCTAGTCTCCCGTTATTTTCTAACATTAATATTCTTCTTTTGGGTCGTCTTCGTTTTGCTTAATTTCATTACAAGGAAAAACCCTTTCTTTGCTGGATTTTATTAAATTCTACCTTTTGCCTTCCATCTTTGTCCTCCTTCCAAGCCAAACCTAGATCCGTTTGTGAAGATGGACAAACCCAGGGAGTTTATTACCACGACCAAATAAAGAAATTCAGTGGATCATCTATGATTTGGAGCTGGACCAATCAAAATACAACAGAAAACACGTACATACGTACATAATATCATATACATATCATATATCGAGATATACTGAAGCAAGCATGTGGAGGAGGTTGTGGTGGTGCGAGGCTTTCAAGCAGGGCGCGTCTGCGGCAGTTGGTAGGAGACCTCCGCCTTCGCCGCTGCTGTTGGAGGGATTGACAGTGAGAACCAATCCAGTCTTCTGCGGTAGAAAAGTTTGGTTATCTTCTTCATCTTCTGATGCCAATGCAACCTCTGATTCCAAAAACGCAGGATCAGGAGCAGGACGAGAGAGCATAACATTCGCGGAGGCCAAGAAGCTAATGAGGCTGGTGAACGTGGAATCGCTCAAGACGAAGCTTGGAATGGAAGGCAAAGAGGTGATAGGTTACTTGGAGTTACTGGAGGCCTGCGAGAGCATGGGCGTTGCCAGATCTCTGGACGAGGCCATCGCTTTTGCACGCGTTCTGGATGAGGCAGGCGTTGTACTTCTGTTTCGCGACAAGGTGTATCTTCATCCTGATAAGGTACCCATCTTTTAACCTTTATTTCTCTTGTATTAGTGTCTTTATGTCGACGCAATCGAATCCATGATTCTTGAAGATTGAGAATGGATTTGCCAATCGAATCCAGTTCATGTTAAATATTATTCCTTTCCATTCTACTTTAGTGTTTTGTCATTTCGGATGCTTCCTTTTTCATTGGCTTTGCCTTCGCCTCGCTTTGGATTTTGTTTTTCTGTTAAAAAAAAAAGCATCATATTTTGGCGATGGGTACCAAATTTTTCCTCACTTGAGCTAGTGATGAATATTCTTTTAACATTATTAATGTTTGGCTTGTGATCTTAGATATGTTATTTATGCAATCAATTGCATCATATTTGATTGCAGACTTGTGTTTGTGTTTCCATTCTTCTCTAATAGTGGGCACTTCTGCCAATTCCACTTTCTCTCTCTATGTGCTCTAGAGTCTGATATTCCTTTCTCTTTTTTCATTTTTATTGAAAGCTTTGTTCATTCCTTGCGTTGCTTTGTAATCCAGAGTTATGAGTCAAACGCCATTGGTGCTTCTTCAAATTTCATGCTTCCATCATTCAGCATATGACCTTTAATTTATCTAAGCAGGCCTTACCTTATCTTTTTTTCTTTTCCTTTCCCCTTCACGAAACAATCAAGGTACTAAAGTTGCTTATCCTAATGATTTGTAAATAATTTTTCTAAAAATAATTAATGCTCATTATAAAATAGGGTTAATGACAAATTCAATGCTCAAATTATAATCAAACGTTTGATATAGTTTTTAAAATTTACAAATGCGCAATCAAGTACTCAAATTCTGCTTCTATTAATGCTATTGCACATTTCGTTTATTCCATTAGCATAAAGTGTGGGGTGTCCCAACAGCTATTAAAAACCCAGTAGCTTGCACATTGTGATAAGCTGCTGGGAAACACGTTAGACTACTTTCTAACTGAGTTAGTTAAATGTGCAATATGCTTAACAGAAGCCAAGTTTGAATACTTGCACAATTTAAAGCTTTAAATGCCAACTCAAACGATTGCCCATAGTTCAAGTCCTCAATGTGCAATTAACCTTTATAAATAATGCTCTAACATGTCTACAAGATTCTAGTATATTAAAAAATGCATTAGAACAGATGCATTATGCCTTTCAGTCGGTCTGGTGCTTTGTTTTCACTTCTAAGAATTCTGTCTGCCAAAAATTGTGATGCCTCTCTACTGTGACAATTTGTAAGACCACTCGGTATATTTTATGTAATTATAATGGAAAAAGTCCTAATTGTTTACTTTATTGCTCATGCATCCATGCTTCTATGCGTGTGCACAGATAATAGTTGAACAGTGATAATATAATCTTCATGTACACAATTCGCAAAATTCTTTTATGTACTGTTCTTTCCTGGTAACAACACATATGAGAATTAAGGCATTGAAAACTTGTTTCATGCAACAGTCTATAATATAATCTTCATGGACAGAATTCATAAGATTTGTATGTACTGTTCTTTCCTGGTAATAACATATATGAGAATTAGGCATTTAAAACCTGTTTCATGCATCAATCCATAGCACAAAGGTTTATCTACAGATGGTTACCTTCAGTCATGTGTTGTCCAATTTATTTTTTTTAACATGACAATATTATGCTGTGTTTAGACCCAGGAAATTGTGTTTAAGGCAATTGCTTGGTTGGTACCTCATTCAGGTTTGTCTGCCCCTCTAGCCTTCCACCAAATTCTTCTTGACCCCTTATTTAAGCCAAATGGTACATTAAGCATTATTGCCATTATTCCCCCTACGCCCTCTGCACTTCTTTTCCCCTCCTCTTCCCAATCCAAACCGCTCATTTTTGCCATATTGTTGTTGTTGCATTTTTCGTGTTCTATGCTTGCAATAACTCCAAATCATTCCATCATTTCTCTCAGGCAGTCCTGTTATTAGCTCCTTGACTTTAGCTTCCAGAAGGAATATGAATCGCTAATGTTACTGATATTCCTGCACTTTTACCCGACTCTTTTGCTTTTATACCATACGTGGATCTCAAAACTTATGTGGTTGTTTTCTACCCTAAAGTTCATCGTGGTTTTCTTTCTTAAGAATTGCTTCTTTTGTTTTTTCCCTACTGGGAACCATGGAATATACGGACTGATTTTGCTGAAACCCATTCTCATTTGCTTAGGTGGTGGATCTTGTTAGAAGAGCAGTACCTCTTGCATTGACTCCTGAAGATGACCCCATTAGAGATGAGCTAAAGAGGCTGCAGGAGAAGAAGGAAGAGATTGATGTGTTGGCACATAAGCAAGTTCGCCGCATCCTTTGGACTGGTCTAGGATTAGCTGTGGTACAAGTTGGACTCTTCTTCCGCCTAACATTTTGGGAATTCTCATGGGATGTTATGGAACCGATAGCATTTTTCACCACTACCACTGGCATAGTCATAGGCTATGCTTACTTCCTGTTCACTTCAAGAGATCCCACATACCAAGATTTGATGAAGAGACTTTTTCTCTCCAGGCAGAGAAAATTGTTCAAGAAGCATAATTTTGATGTTGGCAGATTGAAGGAGTTGCATAAGAAGTGCAAAACACCTCTAGATGCCTCTGCATCTATCCGAAATCGTGTAGGGTTGGAACTGGAGCTAGATGATGCCTTACATAAGGATTAGCTCTCCACCAGCTCTTCGTTTTTGCATTTTTTTTCCCCTTTCCTTTCTCTCCTGCTTATGTAGATGAATTATCACGGTAACTATCTGTTCCAATTTTCTTCAGGGTTAGGGCAAAGGCAAAGGTTTCTAACCTCTTACTCAAATCAAGCTTAAACTTATCCCAGTCTATCCATTTGTTCTTTCAAGTCGGTCCCTCGCGCTTCTTGCAGATAGGACAAGTCAAACCTTCTCCTCAATCTGAAAAAGCACCTTTGTCATTGCAGACAATATGCTACTGTCGCATCATCTCCATATACTTCACCATAGTTGTCATCCCAGCTCCTCACCCAATCATCAATTCACCAACATTGAACAAGGGTTTTATGCCTTGTGCACGCACGCCATGATCGCACTCAAATACAAGACAAATATTGAAACAAACGGAAACCATACCCACCAAACGCCACTCACACAGAGCTTCGTTATCACAAAATCTAATGATACAGTACAATTACTAAATAGTACAAATTAACTACATCAACAATAACACACTAAAGAAAATTCAATTCCAGAGAAATTCGATCAAGAACTAGCGTCCATGTCCACTCAGGCCCATGTGCTATCAATGACAGGGGAATCCACTGCAGTGGGTATATAAGCATCACAGAGGTCAGATTTATGATTTCTACAAGAAAAGTGATCTGTATTCATCTGCCTCTCGAGACATCTCTTCAGGGCTTCTGTCCTTCCTTTCCTTATCTAAATCCAGCGTTTCCTGCATTTCCTTCTCTTTCACATCTATCTATACAATGAGCAACAGACAAAGGAACACAAGTTATCCAAGGTTAGCTGATAAAAGCAAAGCAAATAGGAATATCTATCTTACTGCATCATAGATCTCATCGTTCCTCTCAAAGTCGCCCTCTCTCCTTGGAAGGATATGAATGTGAACATGAGGCACAGTCTGCCCTGACTGTGGCCCGTCCTAAAGTACAAACAAACACATATGCTACAAAATTTAGTTTTTAATGATCCAACATATGCTCTTTACAGAGCGGCAGTATTACCACACGGTGAGAACAGCCAGAAACTCCCAACAAGTATCACACAATCAATTCCTCTCATTCAATTTTCTACAAGAAAGCAATATTTTTCATTCTCAAGTGATCACTTAAACACAGTAATTGCTTGTTATTGCATGAGAAAACAAATTACTAAAGTTGAAATGGGTTAATGTATAAATAAAAATAAGAGTTAACAGGAGGTACTCAGAAAATGCATCCAAGGAGTCACAAATACCAAGCTTGAGGACATCCCAGATTGAGGAGTTGAGGTCCAACTTGGCCAAGAGAATTAACAATAGGATGTGAATTTTACAATTTTAGAAAATATTAAATCCAAACTATAAAAAAAGTACTCTAGTAAATGTTGTATTTTGGGAGAATTCGAGATATGGCTGAATGATGCAGCCTCTATTACAGGCAAGGAAACAAGGATGAACAAGTATGGTAAGCAAAGAACTGACGTTCATCCAATTCATTACTGGTTGCTTAAGGCATTTAATTACAACCAGTTAATACATGGATAACAGCCTACAACACTAGGTTACATACATAAGACAAGTGTTAAAATGCATTAAGAAGTAAGCAAGCATAACAACATGTAAATACATTGGCTGAAAGCAGTAATGACGTGGGGCTTTCAGGTGTGAATCTTCCAGAAAAAAAGTGTTGTGGAGAAGGTCCTTGAAAATGCCTTGACTGCAAAATTCAAAGACAAAGATAGTGGTGAGACAGCACCAAGAAAGGGACCTGGTGAGTCATAGGCGAAAGAAAACAGAGGCTATCAACACAACAAGTCTCGGTTCAGGAAGAACAAGCTTCAGATTTGTTCTCACTGTAAGAAACATAATCATGCAGAGAATAGTTGCTGGTTTAGGCCAAGCACAAAGTGCAGAATTTGCAACAAGTTTGGCCATATGAAAAAGGTTTGTAAAAACAAACCAGATACGCAAGAAAAGACTGCTCAAACAGTAGAGAAAGCTGAGGTAGCAGATGAGCATCTCTTCAAGTCACTGAGCAAGCCAAAATTTGAGCATCACAGGGACAAGCTGAAGGTTCTCAATGCAAGCATTAAGGGGGAATGTTGATTCTAATGCTTACATGTGCCAAGTGGAATGAATGCCATATATCTATCCACTTGGATACCATGTATCTTGGTGCATGTTTAAGCAGATTTCAAAAGCTCAATGTGGTGCATTGCATGCTTAATATGTAATCTGGTTTTACAGTTGTATTAGCTTCTTGAACAAGTGTTTTAATCCTGAAAATGTTGTTCAACTGTCTTCTACATATAAATTCAATTGGTATGAATGGTATAAAGCCTTTGTTCATCTGCTAAGTGTGGTTGCCACCATAAGCCTCTGGTCATCCTTGTTTATGTGCTCACTAACAGACTCTCTCCAGAAGCTATATACCTTTATTCACTCAAAAATTCAACTGTAAAGGCATCTCAAGGCAAGAGGCATCAATGGGCAAGAGATGAAAACAAAAACACGAAAGAAAAGGCTTATAATTGAAAAACAGGAGGTAAGCAACCAAGAACAGCATAAAACCATGAACATAGAGGTCCCCATCTCTATCCTCTCTACTACAGCCAGATAAGAGGGAAAGGAAAATTTAAGAAGGTGAGGGTGCCAAAATATGATTTGGAAACAACAACATGATTGACAAACAATGTCAAGTACTATAAAAAGTATGAGGCAAAAAGGAAAACTATTTACATTTAAATTAAAGTAATAGAGCAATTCCCATTCTCTTACTTGGATAGTAAAAGTGAGCGACGACGCTTTATGGTGGCCCTCAAGCCCTCCACCAACCCTCTGTGCCGTTAGCCACAAATCACTGGTCTCATCAACAGTGAGATCAACAAACCGCTTAACTTCACGCCTTGGGCAGACAAGCACATGTGTACAATGTTAAGAAAACCAAATTGAAGCACGAATTCTTCAACAATGAAAAATGCATGGTTTCCTAACAAATTGGACCCAAAACCATACCCGCTTATACAAAACAAATGCAACCTAAATTGTGATTGCATTTTAGCACGTAATGATTTAAATATAGTTAGAATAATTTTGTGAAGCTGTTTTCTTTACATCTTCCAAGGTGTATTGTACATACATACACGTCTGTGCGTGTGCAAGCCATCAACACTCCTCTCCTCCAAGCTGCAGTCTCAAGTTTACATCATTCCCATATGAACAGTTCAATTTGCAGCAAATCATTAGAAAGAAAATTACTTTGTATTGTGTAGTCCAGAATCATGTATACCAAAAATGATTATAAAAAAACCAAAATTGGATTTTAAAAAAAGGATATGACCTGCAGAGGAGAAAAAGGCAAGTCAATGACCATTGATAATTAGAAGAAATAAATAATGAAAGCAGGAAACACACAGAGTTGGATGGAAAGATGATGAAGATGAATCTCGTCGGGTGCTAATAACAATGAAAAGAGTCTGTGGTGCTAATTAGTACTAGTAGTAATTACCAGGAACAACAGGACGGAGGTTGACCATCGCATAGGAAAAGGGGGTGGAGTAGAAAACTTCCTTGGAATCAATCTTATATGGGCCGAACGTATAGCACTCCGTTGACATCTGCTTCACCATATTGGTTGTAATGCCAATATTTAGTTTTCGATTGACACTATTAATCAAGATGTTGGCATGTCATTTTATTAATCACTTGCCTTAGCGGTGGCGGCGGCGGTGGACGATGAGATTGTTCGGAAACCTCCCCTAGAAATCCTGATAAAGCAATTCCGACCCAGACCTAGAGAAGACAGCAGCTGCAACGTTGTCATTCCTTATACGGGTTTTCTTGTCTCAAACGCTTATAATTTAAAAACAATAAAACAATTTCAATTATTTTAATTAGTTCGACTAACTCCATGTTTCAAATTTAAAAAATTATTTTTAAAATATTATATCTACTATGCTGTATACAAAAAATCAAATGAGCTCTTTTTTTAAATGGATTTTATGCATAAAGCGTTTCTGAGAATAGACCTTCTCATAATTTTAATTATTTCTAACTAAGAGAAATAAAATTTAGATAAAATTATCTTTAGTGAAATCGACCCATTCCTTAGTTTCGCACATCAACCCAAAACTTATTAACGGGACAAGTATGTTTATATGGTCCATAACTCCTCAATTCTCATTGACAGACCGTACATTCCTCAGAAGTAATTCTGTCGAAAACATTTCTCGTCAGTTCAATTTTTGAGTATTTTTGCAGTGGTAGGAGCATTTAGATTGGTTATTATTTGCATAAAAGTAGTTCACATATTGAACAGTGAGAGGAAGTTCACATTATGCGGAGAAAGATATAATATCTTTTTTATTATATTTTGAACCATGTGGAGAAATGGTCATTCTTCATGTTTAGGGTTTAGGTTTTTTAGCATAAACTTATACATATTGCTTGTTCATATTGATATTCTTGTTTGAAATTGTAGAATGTAAACATAAAGGTGGTATTGTTGGTGTTGTTGAGGTTGAAAGGTGACCGAGCATGCGCGATTGGTTGATATATATGCGTTATGACTCTTTGATAGGAATTGGTTTGAGGGTTTAGATATTGCATGATTGAGGGCTTGCTTATGTGGTTGGCACCTTATGCATGGCTGGATTTTGACATGAGGTAATTTAAAGTGTGCGTGACTGCATTAGGGTTTAACATTGCGTGAGTGTTGATATGTGATTGCATGACATATTAATAGGTCATTGCGTAACAGCATGACTAGATGTTGGCATGGAGTTAGGGTGTGCGTGATTGCATTAGGGATTAACATTGCGTGACTGATTGATAAGTTATTGCGTTACCTATTGATAAATCATTGCGTGACAACGTGACTGGAATGAGGTATGGCATTACTTAGGCTCTGTGTGATTGCATAAGGCTTTAACATTACGTGATTGATTGATAGGTCTATATTATTTTGGGTGAATTGTAATGCTTTAATATGTATATATTGATTTACTTAATACTCCATGCTCAACACTTGCATTAATTATTCTATTTCAAGATTATCTAAAAATAGTTAAAATTATTGAGAGGGTTATTTTTGGAGTGAGCTTCTGAAGAGGGCTATTTCTTAGAAATTCTTCTTGTTTTTTTTTTAATCTACAATGATGGTATTAACATGACTAAATGGGAATGTTACCTGTTTTATGTTGCAGATGGCTAGCACAGGAACAGAGCAGGATAATGTGGAATCTTTGCTTTGTGTGCTAAGGCACCAGTGAGGGTTCAACGTTGACATTAACATTTACTATAAGTGGTCACATCTGCATGTGATACGTGAGATACTGTGTAAAGTAAATGAGTTGGAAACTTTGAAGAGAATATGCTTTGGGCATATGATGGACGTAGAATCAGAGAAGAGTTTATTGTGCGTCAGTCTCGTGCACAACCTAATGCTACGTAGAATTAATGGACCTGACGCCATCAAGGGTGAGTTATGGTTTGCTATAAGCAGAACGAAAGCCTGATTTTTGAAGAGGGAGTTCTGTTTGGTGATAGGACTGAAGTTTGGTGCTTTATCGGTCCTTATTGTCAATCCCTATGAGGTCGTCCCTAGAGGAATTCACCTACGATATTAGGGACAAGGGAACAAGTTGAAGATACAATAAGTTCTAGAGACGTTCAAAGGAGGGCAATTTCAACAGGAGAGAGATGTGGCCAAGATAACCCTCATCTTGATTGTGAGCAATGTTTTATTCAATCAAGACTATAGACGATCAATGATTCCATGGTTAATGTCCCTGGTTGAAAACATTGATGACTGGAATACATTCCCATGGGGCACATACGTTTAGAGTCTGACCGTCGATTACTTGATGAGGGGTTTCGAAACTTTACCAGTGAGAGTAGTAGAGAAGAAACATTACCACCCCTATGAATTTATATGGACATTTCAAGTAGTGTTCAATACCCTAATATTTATCATTATTCTTTTCATATAAAATTTTATGAGTTGAGTAAGAAATATTTCACAATTGATGTGCAATTTTGGGCATTGGAAGCAATTCTTGTAATCCAAAACTTGTTAGGAAGGCAACGCTAGTGCGAACAGGTTTGCCCAAAAATGCAGAAATGGGCATGTGATGAGAGGTTTGTAGGCTTCCACGCCAATATTGCAAGTTTGGAGAGAGAAGGCAAGGTGAGTAAAGAAAGCATATTTATTTATTTTATTAAACTTTCTCTCACTGCTCAATATGTGAACTACTTTTATACGAATAATAACTAGTCCAAAATTCTCCTACTATTGTGAAAATGCTTGGAAGTTGAACTGATGAGGAATGCTTTTGACAGAATTGCTTCTGAAGAGATATACGGTCTGTCAATGAGAACTGAGGAGTTATGGATCATATAAACATACTTGACCCGTTAATAGGTTTCGAGTTGAGGTGCGCAGCCAAATGAATGGGTTGGTTTTAGTAAAGATAATATTGTCTAAATTTTATTTCTCTTGGCTTGAAATAGTTAAAATTATGAGGAGGCTTATTATCAGAAACACCTTATGCATGGAGCCTATTTAATAAAACAACATTAATTTTTATTGTCATAGGGTAGTGAGGGTTAAACCTAATGGCAATGTATGTTTTGGTGCAGTTGTGCGCAGTCAGGATGTTGGAGCCAACTACGGAAAAGATGTTGATCGCATATTGGGCCGACATTGATGTCAACACCTCTGAAGGGCAGCAATACATTCCATTATGGTAGTTGGAGGGTCAGCCAGAATTCGATCCCCAGTAAAGGAGGAAGATAATGGACCACAAAGGGAAAAGTATGGTAAGACAAGGTGTTAAGCGAAGACGCACCATGGACGAGAAGGTCTATTCCCAGTTCACTGCTGCTAAAGCCTCGGGTGCTACTGAGGTGCCTAATTCTCTTCCTGGGGCTCTTTATGCTGCTTCTCCTGATGCTCCTCATGATGCTTCTCCTGATGCTCCTTATGCTGATACTCCTGCTATAATTATCATGACTCTTCATGCTATTCCTCCTTCTGCTTCTACTGCTGCCCCTCATGCTCAAGCATGTAACCTACTGCTGCATCCTCAAATGACTACGAGCATTAAGTGAGAGTTGTAATAAATGAGGATATAATGGAAGAAAGACCTACAGTCATTATAGACAGATATGCAGATGGACATGCAAACGCAGATGCAGTCATTACGGATGGATGTTGATCGAGACATGTAGATGCATATGCATGCAATGCAATTGGAGATGCAACGAGCGATGCAGATGCAGATGTAGTCACTCCATTTGCATATCTAGCAGTCACTACAAGGGCTGAAGGATCAAATTGTCGATCGTTATGAGATATGAGCTTTTATCTTTTTCATTGCGTGAGTTATAACAGATATGATGTATATACTATTCTAATGTGTTTGATTTTTTCAACCGTCTAGGGTCGATCAATGGGTGAAGAGGATGGTGTACGCGACAAAGATGGCAGCGGTATTGGGGTTGATTTTGACGATGCAGGTGGCATAAATCAATCAATTGCATCGGCTCGAAGCTCACCTCCCGCTGCCCTGATCGAACATTATCCTGCAAGTAGTCCAACTATAACTTCCCCACTCCCTGCTCCTATCCCATCTCCACTAGAGGCCTCTCAACATTGTCAATGAACACTTTCTCCTAAGGCTTTACCTCCATCTCAAGTCGAAAAGGCACCTCATCTTGCGAGTAGTGGAACTACAACTTCCTTGTGTCCTACTTTTGTCTTAACTCCAGGAGAAGCCCCCTCATATGGTGAGATCACACCTTCTCCTAAGGCTCCACCTCGACCCCAAGGCGAAGATACATGTGTGAACTTAGCCAACAAATACCTTCGAAACCTTTACGTTAGCCCACTATTAGTTTAGCGTCAAGCAAAAGATGTTTTGAAGGACAGATATGAGTCCTTCATGAAAAACAAGCAAGCTAAAAAATTATAACAATACACGATATTAGGGTTAACAGTTGTAGGGTTTTTATTCCATAGACCTTTTGACTTGGGTATTATAAATATACAGGGTTAACGTTATGGGCATTGAAGGATAAGAGGGCCCTCATTTTTTTTTTAGCAATTGGAGATGTCGGCTGAGTTGTTGGACAACCAATACATTGACGCATGAATTAACGTCTTGTGTAAGCAGGCAAGTGAACATCATCTGTAACTCTACAAGTATAGAATATGCATCGTTTACAGCTACTTTTATGTAAGTATATTATATTTATATTTTAATAAATTGTAATTATTCAAATGTATGGGGTGTGTATTAGTTAATGGCATCTAACTATTATGCGTGATGTAATTGATAGCTTATTTTGCTAGCTTTGAACCAAGAAATGAAGCTTCCCCCGACCACTAAGACATTCAGGCCGAGTAAGGTGGTAATGCCAAACCATGTGCTTGAGTATGTAAGGGGTGGGAGTCCTCCGTGGGGTTTACCATAGCACGAGGTTGACTCAATTCTCATACTGTGTAATTCAACAGCCACTGAGTGTTAGTGCACATCAACTTGCTAAATTGGAGAATGATGTTAGTCAACTCATCATACAGTCGGACAGATGCACTAAAGTCCAGCTTGTGTGATAAGCAGATAAGTCCACTAACAATATTGTTTCCCATTATATGCCACCAGGCCGAATACTTTGACAGCTTGCATCATCAAAAGAACCCTTTAAGGTGGATAAGGTATAAGTTAAATGCAAAAACCCTAATACAACAAGATTCGCATAGTTACGGGATTGGGTTATTGCCTCGTTGTAGTGGTTAATCGGTTCTGAGGATCATACACTAAAGGCAAACGTCATAGACGGGCTTTGAAAAAAGTTTGCCCT